CATCAGCTGAGGCAAGCTGCTGTCCCTCTACATTGGCAGCAAGAAAGGATATAACGTCTTAGCCACTCATCCGAGCTGCTGTCTCTGAACACTGTCTCAGTTGCCTCTTGGAATGGAGACAACTGAAGCACATGCCTACCTAAGAAGCACTGAGGGGTCAGGCACAGGGAGGAGGAATGAACTCGACAAGAAGGTGCACTGTGTCAAGCGGACACGTCTGGCCACAGAGAACATGACTTAACACCCACAAAAACAGAGTGGCCAGTCAGGAAGGCACCAAAGATAAGTCGGTGATGGACTCATTCCCTCTCAGTTTCAGACATGATTTTTGACAAAGTTCGCAAATCCACAGCTCTAAAAGGCAGTTTGAGGGATGTAAAGGGTACTTGTACAAGCTCTTCGGACAAGGACAACACAGGTTCCAGGATGGTAAGCAGAGGCCAGGCACAGGGCCGGGAGGGGCAATAGCAAAGAGGGCTAGGGTATGGGTCTGAGTGTAAGTAGCAAGACCTGATGGCTGAAATGCAGCAAAATCACGAAGATTCGAGTTTTAAACTCTAATCCTACACTGAAGTAACTTCAGAGGGACATGACAAAGCTCATGAAACCTAGCGCCATGCTGCTGGATACTATGACAATTCTAAGTCCAGTCTGCTTCAGACTTCAGATGAAACATGAGCTCTGAGCAGGAGCTGCTCTCACAGCTCAGAACCAGAACCATTGAGATGCCTGTAGCTACTGTCAGAGACAAGCCCTTGATCCTATCTTAGATCCAAAACATATCCTAGAGGGCAGATCTCCTTCCAGAAGTTGAGTATAGGAAGCTGGTCGGGCAGTGCAGACAGAGTGTAAGCAAGTATGCCTTCCAAGTCCCTACAGACAAGCTCTCCACTAGTCAAGTGTGGTATCTTTCTAGGAGAGTACTGCCTCCCACACTTTCCTTAGGGAACTTCCTTGCACTCCAAGGCCAGCCTGTGTCCTGTTGAGACTGCTAGACTGCCAGTGAATTGTGGAATGACCCCAGAGTGCAAGGGCAGAGTGGCTCATCTGCTGCAGGGACAATCAGGGACACACTAGCCTCACGCCGCAGAGAACGGCACCAGTGCATGTTCAGAGCCTGGCTGCAACTCCAGAGCCGGAGGGAGCTTCCTGCTTAGCTGTGCAAAAGGACACAGGTAACTTGAGGCAGAAAGAACAGGAGGGGAAAAAAAAAAACCCTTCAGCCCTTTAGAATCCTGCTGCACCTCTGCCACAAAGGAACAGTTAACACAAATGCAAGCTGGGCATGGGAATGCACACCTGCAAACCCAGCATTTAAGAGGCTGAGGCAGGAGGACTGCATAAGTTCAAGGCCAGCATGGGTTACACATATTGAGACCTTGCCCCCGCCCCCCATAGGGTTGGGAATGTAACTCAGTAGTAGAACATTTGGTGTCACATATCTGAGGCCCTGAGTTTAAAACTGAGTCACATGTCACACTCACACAGACATACACACACACACAGACACACAGAGACACACACAAAAGATAAAGAAACAATCAAACAGACTAATGGCCTTTACACATCAGTTCCACATCTGAAAAACTGTGCTCTCAACCTGGCTTATCAAATTGGAACAATCCAGCTTATATTACTGCTTGTACCTTTCCCAGAACTAGAGTGCTGTCCTTTGCCCCTGGACAAGGCAGAAGCTCAGAGGCAGAGTAGCTGTCTGGGGCAGGGAGGGAAGGTGACTAATGAGGGGCCTGGATTTAGCATTCCAGCAAATCTGAATTCAGGAGCAGCCTCAGAGTCACTGCTGTGTCCACGGCCCACCAGACACCACCATGGGGACTAGGAAGGAGCACCTGACTCCTGGGGGACAGTGTCTTCCACCCCTTGTCACACCTCTGCCCTTGTTAGGGTGCGCTGCTGCTTGGTTTTAAGAAATACGTTTTCCTGAGAAGGCAAGAGGTCTTAAAGCCCATGGAGCCAAGGGCTAGGCTGTGGGCAAAGACCTTCTTTACAGGGGAATTTGCTAGACAGTCACAAACATGGCCTTGGGTCATGACTATTTGAGGACAAGCATGCGCTAAAACAGAAGACTCTACCCCGAGTGCAGAAAGTATACGGAAAGACAAATGCCACTTATCCCGGACCTGCAGGCTTAGCTGCCTTTGGGTCAAAGGATGAAGGCGCCCATGGTGCTACTCTGGAAACTCTCAGCAGTGCTGCAGAGACCTGGTCCGGCTACACATCCCTGCACATGCTCAAAAGGGAGTGGTGGACACCTGGCAACACATCTGGATGCTTCTGGGAAGCCCTCTCCTTCTTTAAGATGAAGTTGGCCCAGAGGTGGGAAAAGATCGGCTCCTAAGAGACAGAGGGCAGAGGCTGACAGGAGGGGCCTGCATGCCACCAGGGAAGGAGGCATCCTCTGTGATCTCCAAACTGGCTCACAACTACTGGGCCCAGCAGCACCTCAGATACCAGTGCCTTCTTCAGGACAAAGAACAAATGTCCTTCATGGACCTTCCAGCTGCCTTGTCCCCCTAGCAGGGGCACTCACCGTGTTCAGGGTAGTGGGGAGGAGGAGGCGAAGCAAAATCCAGCTTGTCCTTTAGGTCTGCCTCATTCTCCTCCTGCCATTTCAGCCCAACCTTCTCCCAGAGGCTGGTGGCTGTCTGCCTGCAACACAGCAAAACAGGAGTGGCAGTCAGGTCTGGATGCCAGAACACGAAGGTCTTGATCAGACACCTCAGGGAAACACCTTCTGGGCTGGGGAGCAGGGTCAGGTAACAGGCATCACTTGGCAGGAGTGGCCTTCTGATCAGCTCGACTACTTGGTGACAATACCAGCCAAGGGCCTAATGTCCTACCCAGAGACCCAACTTAAAGAAAGACGTCTTAGCAATCAGAGAAAGCTCATATGACACAGAACCACACAGCACACAGAACAAGGAGAGGGGGCAATTGTTTGTGGCTCCAGCTTCTAGAGCAGAGAAACCACAACCCCTGTGGTAAATGGCAACTGAACAGAAGCTCCTGCGGCAAATCAGAGTGGCTCCAGAGGGTAGGGGGCACCACTTGGCCCACACTGCCCAGCTGCTGGGCAAGGCACTTACCGGACCTCAGGCATTTCGTCGCTGAAGCTGCTGAGCAGCAGTGGGCTGAGTTTGTGGAAGAAGGAGTAGCGGTCGCGAAGATTCAGCAGCCAGCCCCCCACCACCGAGGTCACGGCCTGCCGGACCTGCCACAAGACAACAGAGCAGCAGCTTCACTTGAGAGTCTCTGGGAAGGGCGGTTCAGAGGCCTGCTGTGAGGGATGTTAGTCCTGAAACAGGTGTAGGTAATGAGTTCCAGGGCTGGACCCCACCCCTCCGACAAATGAGAGGACCACTGAACCTTGTGACATCCACTAGCTCTGTCCTCTGTGGACTCACTGTGCACTCCCTCACCCCCGTCAATATATTGTGTCTGTAGTTTTCTGTGCCACCATGGTACCTGGGTGTTTTATGGGCTGCAGTGACAATAGTAGAGGCTACCTTATTTGGCATGTGACATGAATCCATGAGAAATCTTCAGGAAGCAAACTTGGGAAAGAAAGATTAGATCTCACCAGGGTTTAGGTAGAGATAAAGCTGGGGAACTCCTGCTTGTTGGTCAGGGTTTCTGTTTGGAATGGTAAGAACTGGGGTAGTGGTGACAACTGTGACAGTGCTGTGTGTATGGTGCGGGTGACAGAACATAGTACCTTGCACAATTTATTACATGCTTTACAAAATTAAAATAAGTATGCATTTTAAAAAAAAAACCACTAAACATCGTGACCGGGTAAACTGTATGCACAGGAACTATGATACCATAGAGAGTCATACAAATAAACCAAGCCATAGAGCTGTGTGGGGAGCCTGGGGCAGGACTTGGCCGGCGCACCTGCAGTGACACAGCCTACAGCAGGGGAGAGAAGGTGCCTGGCATTTCATCACAGGGGAGGGGACACTGCCACCGGGATACAACTTGTCACTCTATGGAGAGTTTGATGGTTGATATGAACGGCCAAGATGCAGACAGCTTTCAGTTTCTCTGGGGGTGGGGGCTGGGTGGTGGCCACTGCCCTTCCTCCCCACCTACCCAGAATCCTGTGCTCTGCCTTTCCCTGTTTTCTCCATCTGGACAGAGCCTGCCTGTCACCAGTCCTCTTTATAGGTGATATTACCATAAGCTACAACAGCCTTACATCTGAGACACGCCCGTGAGCTGGATTTTGCCTTCATAAAGCCAGTGCATTTCCTACATTGGTAGGCCTCCTGTCTGCCAGTATCCTCTCCTGCTTCCATATCCCCCAGCACAGATTACCCTGCTACTCAACCTCTACTCCGCCCTCCTTTGCACTGAAGGAGGAGCACACGAAGACACCTTCACTAACAGCACGTAGTTTCAAGACTGTAGGGCAGCGACATTCCATTACCTGAGGGACGTCATCGAAAAGTCTTTGAGCAAAGTGGGAAAGAACATCATCCACCGAACTGCCATTGCCAAACTGGATCACAGTGCCCGTGGCTTCGATGACCGCCACCCGGACCTTCCAATGCTGGTGGGAGATGGTCTGCATCAGGGGGCCTATCAAGGACTCCGACTGCATGTGGAAGTGCTCTGTGGGACAGGGAGGCTGCTGGTTATCAGATACAGTTCTGTGGCCACCGTCGTACCTGCCATCTCCCGCTGAACGCTTCTAAACCAGCCCCTGCCAGCCTCAACTCCCACATTCTCCATGTGGGAGAATGTGATGCTCCAGATATCGAGGTGGACAAGTATTTCATAAGGTTGACTCCCTCCCATCCAGACTTCCAGTTTAACGATCAGCACTAGGCAGGACTTGCTATTTTTTTTTCCCCAAATTCTAGCTCAGAAGGAAAAAAAAGAGAAGACTCTGATCAAGCAGAGCTGTTAGAATGGTGGGAATAAACTAAAGGGAAGCGGAGAGGCAGCCTCCTTCCACCTAGGAAGCTAGAGATTCAAGTCAGAGACACAAGAGGCACTGGAACAGTACACAAGATCAGGAGGCTGAAGCAGCCTAAGTTTGATGCCAGCCCGGGCTCCATGGTGAGATCTCGTCTCCAATACAAAAATCATCACACGAGGGAACCAACCCACTTTAGTTAAGGTCCCGGCAATCTGGGTACCCGCGGAAGAAGATCCGACGCTTACCAGGAGTAGCTCGCGCCAGAGCGGCTGCGCACTCACAACTTTCGCGGCGCACCGCGGCGAAGGGGTCGAGCAGCGCGCCCCGCAGTGCGCGCACCGCGTCGTC